GGCCCCCCCCCCCGCCCCCCCCCCCAGTCACTCTCCAGTGTTGCTCATGTGTTCAGCCCTTGGCCCGCTGCCATTTCCAGCACAACCCTTCTGAATGCTCCATTTACACATACAAACACCCTGGCTTCCCATTTCCCTGATCTTATCTGGTAAAACCTATTATCAATGACTATAGAAGCTCCTAAGTGATAGTGGGGAGTTTTTCTCATTGGCTCCAGGTGTGTCTTATGCATCCTTTCCAAACAAAGGTCATTGTTTCACCCACACCCCCTTCCCATTAGCACTACCAATGTCTCTCATTCTTTGTAGGATTTCACCCAGTAATGATACAGTCCTGTGGTACAACCCTCTCCTTGGCCCCATGATGACATTTCCCTTCCATCTATTGGTCTTCACCCCTTCAAAGAAAAACTCCCCCAGAGGAACTGTCTACTCATTAACTAAATTTCTTTCCTTGCCTCTTGAGCTATTTTGATCAGCCTTTCATCGCAGGGTAGTGGCTTTGCTAAGGGTATTAGTGGCTGTCTCCCTGTCCAGTGCAGCAACCAGGTCTCTGCATAGTGGTTTTTGACAGACAGGAGATGCTTCTCGAGAGAGCTCCTGTGCACTGGACTTCCCCGTTTGCCAGTGTGAGCATGTGCCAGCAGCTAGTACTGGATATCCCCTTTCTAACTGAATCTTTTCGATCTTGGAGCCTTAAGAATCAGCTCTACAATGGAATAAGCCACATCTTCATCTCCAACCCCAGCCTCCTTCCTGAAGGCTGGATTCATGGGCTTAATTTCCTGATAAGCATCTTCATTGCAATGTGTACTGTATCCCAAAAGACTGACTCATGGTCTTCCCCAGATTGGCAAAATGTCAATTTCATTCTTCTACATTGGAAAATCTCATCAGCACTCCTGATTTTACTCTTTCATATACTGTATTTTAGAAACGTGGCCTTTCTTAGACTCAGGAAATTTCCATGATCTGATCTGGACCCAGGCCACTTTCTACCTGGCATGATATTTTTTGTTTGTTTTGTTTTTCGAGACAGGGCTTCTCTGTGTAGCTTTGGAGCCTATCCTGGCACTCACTGTGTAGACCAGGCTGGCCTCGAACTTACAGACTGGCATGATAATTTTAAAACACAGGCCCAGATATGCCACTCTTCCACTAAGCTCTACAGTATCTTCCCAGTACACTCAGAATAACATATTCATGTGGTCAATAAAGCTACTGAAATAATCTGCCCTACCTTTTGACCCTACATGGCTACCATAATCCCTTCTCTGACCTATTTTTCTCGGTTCCCTTGAATCTAGCCATTCAGTCCCTGCCTCACCCAGAATACCCTCAACGCATGCCCCTTCCTGGTACCCCATCCAGAAACCACATACCTGCATGTCTCGCTCCTTCCCTTACTTTAGATCTTATTCACAAATATTCCTTTACCCCCAGAGAACCACATTATAAAAAACCACCACCCACAGCCATTCTCTGCTTCACCACCATTCATTGTTGTTCTTGCCAGCTATTTTGCTCCTGGGTCTGTCTTTGAAGTTCTTTGAGGGATACCGAGCAGATAGTAGTTATTCAGTAAATGTTTACGGGTGAATACATGAGTGAAAATAAACAGTAACTGCTTTGGAATCAAAATGGCATAAAACTATGTGGTTAGTTTTAATTTCTATACCAAAATTAAGAAGCTGTCTTCAAAGGCCATAAAAATCATAAAACATAGCTGTGCTTTCATATAAAAATAGAAAATGCTGTGGATTTTCATTCCTGGCAGGAAAGACAGCTGACTTTGACCCTGGCTATCCTTTCTTGTTTCATGAATCATCTTCACAAACTCAGCTGCAGGAGTAGAAGAGAAGCTATTACCCCGACCACGGAGAAAAGCAACATTTCAAAACTAACTCAAGTGATGGTCCTTTTTAAGCTGTTGTCATTGCACCAAAAATAAAATCTACAGATTTGGGGGTGTAAGGAGAGGACGCTTCATTTTGTTTTATGAAATAAATGTTTCAAAATCACAACAGTCAAAGACCTTCTGCCAAATGTAGCTTCAAACACACCTGATGACATTTGGGTCTTAGCAGTCCTTCGAGTGGCAGGAGTTCTGGGGCCTCTGGGCAGCCTCCTTTTCTGTTTGTATATACTCAACGTCGTTGAATGTTGTTGCATGGTTTCATTGTAGGATATTGACACATGCCTTCTATGGATTTATTGTTTCACCAAGTCTTGTAAAAGGCACACCTTGTAGTACAATTTGTTCAATCGTGTATTTATTTCCTCCTTTAATAAAAAAAGATATTTTAAAAAATATAAAAGAAGGTAGTGAAATGATGTAACTGAAGCAGCATAACAGAGAAAGAATTGTTCCCCTTATTCTGTGTCTTCTCACAAAGATGTTGAGACAAAGGATAGCCAGGGTCAAGGCCTTTCCAGGACCAAAACCATGTAGGGAACTGCAGTGCTTAATCTGAAGCCCTTTACAAAAGAATGCTTCCAGGTTAGGTGGGGAATGTGAAAAAGAGGCTCAGAAGTATCCAAAATGTTACAGTAGTTGAGAACAATCTAGAAACTAATAAAAGTTTTTAAAACAAGTTTTCAATATGATGTACATAAAAAATATCTTCTTATTAGCTTTCTTTAAACGTGTACCACAGTGGCTTGACAGTATGCTGTCATTTGCCAACAAGAACTCTGTCCATGTTCTGTGACAATAACAACTTGAGATGGGCCTGACTCTCTCCCCAAAATAAATATCTTTTTCAAATCAATTTACAAAGTGAAGTCAAAGTTTTCAACCCTTCACCAGAGGCTGTGTGAACCCAGGTTTCATTTTCCTTAAGAATGGAACTTAAGAAAAGAGGTATTCCAAGCTAGGAGACATCACTGGAGTAGAAAGAAAGACTAGCAACTCATTGTCGGATCCCAAATTATCAGAGTTACCACTGTGAAGGCAGAATGACCAAGTGGACTAACAGTGAGTTGTCTAACCAACCCTTAACCACATTCTATGCTGGTGATCAAGCATGCTGGTGTTCAGACATGCCTGACGCTGACAGATACCTGCTGGCTTCAGTAAATGTTCCCATCTGGCCCCATTTGATATGGACAGCCTTTTCCTCAACTTCACAAGATTTTGGTCTTGATTGGGGGGGGGGCGGTCTTGAGTTTTGACTTTGACATTTTACTGGCTAGTAAAATCCAGAACACAGGAGCACTGCCCAAGAGGACTCATGAAGGTCCAGAATTACTTCAGTGCAGAAATACATTGTCCTTCTCAAAAGCTGTGGGTAGAAAACCTGACGCTATCCTCTCATGCTGGAGCCCAAAGGTACCTGCCCAGGGGACTGTAACTTAGGCTGGTCTCATCAAGATAAGCGATAGTATCCTCATGTGACATTCCAGAAACCTATGTACGTGTCAGTACCATCAAAGGGTGCCTATGCTATGAGACAGAAGTCACCACAAAAGTCACCATATTGCAGGTGACTTGTCAGATAAATACTAATTCCCAGACTTTTAAAATATGATGAGTTTCTGTCGTATATACCAGAGGACTGAAAAGCAACAAAAAGTTCACAAACACTTTCAAATGAAACTTCATTTAGAAGCAATGTTTCCACATGAATAATAAAATCTACAGACAATGCCTGGTGGACATACTATGCAACTGACCCTTTCCTGCAACTCACAGCCTGGCAGAGGCCCTTAAGACTTCGGTTTGTGTCTTTATTGTGTTTTTTATCCACTCCTTTTTTTAAATCATTTTTTTAAAATTTGAATTATAAACAAGATTGATTTACATGGCAATCCCAGTTCCCTTCTCCCTCCCATCCTTCATTGTTTTATGACAATGTTTTTATGTGGGTAATATGCTAATGGTCATTGGTTTAGTTCATCTAATAAAGCTATATAAAACACGTCCATATGTAAGAGGACTCAAAACAATCATATTTGTGAAGGTGACTATGATCTTACTAGAACATGTTGGAGTAAACAAAGTAGCCATTGGTCTATCAGCTGCCTGTGCTACATACAGCCAGCCCCGTACTGGATGCTGAAGCAGAAGCTAAGCTGCTGGTGAAGAAATTACCCCTGCCTACCTCCATATACTCCCTGCCAGGAGCAGCAGTCTCTTAGGTAGCTGAGATGAAGAAGACAAGGGGCAGGAAACATACAATCTCAAGCAATAACAGAAGGATAGCCTATTCTTTGACAGAGGAATGCAGAAACTCTGGTAGAACCAGAGAGAATGTTGAGTGAGTTTTCTTGGAGAGACACAAGCAAAGATCTATTCACCCAAGATAGGGCCCTAGCAGCAAACCAAAGAATGATTCGATCCAAGTCTAGTTTAGAGCACAAGTGAGTTTACTGAGGTTAGTTACAGGAACATGGATGACTCATAGGTACCTGTATCACCAGGAAAAAAAATAATCATCCCTAGAGTTCAATGCATAACTAGCAGTTTGGCAGGTTGTGGGGAGGTAGGGTTTCTCCTCCATTGCAATTATTACTGACTATGTAACCTCAGGGGAGTCCTTACAAATGTTACAAGATTTAGGAACTTACTAATCCTTGCAAATTTCAGGTATTTCCTGAGTCTTAGCAAGCTTCCCACAAGGGAAAACTTTTCAATATGGAGGAGATTGTTGCACAACAAAGGTTATGGAAGCTTTGAAGAAGTGACCTTCCCCAGCATGTTAGAACAAAAAATCAAGAAGCAGATCTTCTAGCTAGACAGAGAAGTTGAAGCAAAGGCCCAGAGGAATAGAAAAACATGTGGATACAAAAAACTGGCAAGTAGCTCAACCTGAAAAAGAAAGTGCTGGTAGAGCAGAAAAGTAATCAGCTGATAGTGTGAATGTATATCACGTCCTCTGGGGCCCATGCTCACCTTCCTTACAGACCACAAGGGTTCCAGATACAGTGAGAACACACTTCCTGGCCTCTGGAGAGAGAAGTACATCGGTTAGGACTATTGATGACATGTTGATGGATGTGCTCCCAAGCCCCCACCCATGAGTGGATCACTTTGACTATAGAGCTATGCATTCTTTCAGTTGCTTCCTTCAACACTGAGCATCCAATTTTTCTCAGGGAACTCCAGCTTTGCAGCATGGAACTCCCCAACTGTCCCACTAGCTCAAATGTCCCACTTGCTCATTTCTAAGGCAAAAACCTGAACCATCCCTCCCCCACGTAAGCAGGAGTGCATCACAACCTCAAAGAAACAGAATATTTGGACACTTATTCTGGTCTACTCTGCACAGTTGGCTTTCCAGAGGACACAGACACCAAATGCCTCAGGTCAGATATACATATCAGTCAGTGAAGTGTTTTCCGTGCAAGCATAAAGACCTCCACAGGCCAGAGCCTGTGTGAAAACAAAACAAAACAACAGCAAAACAAAACAGGCATTGTGTTACTTACAATCCTCTCACTAGGAGAGTGGAAAGAGGTGATCCTGGGGCCCACTGGCAACCAGTCCAGCCTAGTTGATGAACTACAAGTCAGGGAGAGATGGTCTAGAAAATAATAAAGGTGGGTGGCACCCAAGAAACAACACCCAAAGTCAACTTCTGGTCTCTACATGCACAGACACACACCTGAGTACAAATGTGTATCCACAAACATATGAACACACACATATAAATGTTAGACCCCCGGAAAACTCATGTATCCGGGGTCCCAGGCCACGACCGCAGTCACCACAATCACCAGGCAGATTCAAGAGCTTGCTGCAAACTGCATGAGGCTTTATTGTAATTTAATGAGCTAATCCCATGTTAGCTCAAGTCTTTTGTCCACCCACCATGGCGGTTAGCTACAAAAGACAGTTTGAACCGACTGCCAAGAGATCTTGTAAGGCAGCGTAAGAGGAGTGTCTAGGTGTACGAACAGGCTCACAATTGGTGTGCCTCCAGGCTTGGAAGGCTTGCCCTGTGTTGATTGGCCAACTGGTTGTTATGGCCCATAGGCCCTCCCAGGGTGGTTGCTATGCTCTGTGCGTCATTGCGGTGCACTTGTCCATAAAGTACACCCAGGGTCATAAAGCATAGCGCCACCAGCTAACTTCTGATTGGTTCCTTGTCACGAGGCAAGCATCTGACCACTAAGTGACCAAGGCAAGGTTATGGCAAGCACGTGTTACTGTCATGGATGCCGAAATGGGGAGCTGGTCCCTTCAATAAACACACATATACATAAGAAATCAAGTCTCCCAATCACTACTTCCTCATGGTATACAGGCCTCTTAGCTGCCATTTTGTCCCTTGTAAGGCCTTGAGACGAGAACCTGAACCTTATGTCCTTACCCTTGCACCTTGCCTACAGTTAAAACACCTGATGGACTCATTGCTGGGAACACCCCTCTTGCTCCTATTAGGGACCTTGGCCTTTTACTTGGAGACTCTACACTATGGCATGTCAACTCAGCTAGAAGACTGCCAAGGCAGAGGACTCATGCCTCTGATGTCAGCCATTTCACTTTTGTCTTACAGTTAATTCAGTCATATATTCTAGTATGTAGAACATGCTGTTTTAAAAGCACATTTAATGGCTGTCAGTTTTGTTTACAGACATCTCACTGACATCACTCTGAACTGTTCTATGTTCATGTTTACTATCTTTTAATCTTCAAGCCTGCATTTATTTGAGAGTAAAAATTTAATTATTTAATACTCATCTTTTATACATGACTTCTTTTTTAATCTTTTTGCCTTTCCATCTTACTACTTCTTTGTGATTCTAAATTCTTCCTTTTTCTTTCTTTCTTATTCTTTTTTTTTTTTTTTTTTTGATATTTCGAGACAGGGTTTTTCTGTGTAGCTCTGTATACCAGAATGGCTTCCAACTCACGGAGATCCACCTGCCTCTGCCTCCCAAGTACTGGGATTAAAGGCGTGCTGGCTTTAAATTCTTCCTTTTCCTTCTCACGTTCTTAGAATATTTTCTACTTGTGGTTCTGCACTCACCTTCAGATGTTGTTTTAACCCTCTCCTGCTACCTACATTCTGTCTGTTTTTTTTTTTTTAATGTATACTATGTTTCCTTCTCATATGCCTTTGTCTTCCTGTCTTAGAAAATATTCATCCCTTTACCTGTTTCTACTGTTTTGATTGTATTTTTGTAACATTTAAATTTCTCTCTCTGGTTTTAACTTTAATTTGTAGTTTATTCTATGTCCTCCATTATCTTCTAAATAGCAACATGGAGATTGTTCAAGACAGAACTTGCCCCAAGTGTCTGGCTAAGGGCTCTGAGTAAGAAGCCATTCTGTTTATTACCATCTGTGACACAAGAG